TGAGATTTTTTTTCTTCAAAATTACCCTTTAATATGAAATTTTACTTATGGAGAAAGCTCTGATAAGATAGTATTTATTGCCTTACATTTTCGTTAGATTTAACTTTTGTTTTTTAGGGGAAACTTGACAAAGCTGTACCTTTGTATGAATTGGCTGTTGAAATTCGACAGAAATCTTTTGGCCCAAAGCACCCTAGTGTAGCTACTGCCTTGGTGAACTTAGCTGTTCTTTATAGTCAAATGGTAAGTTCCCATATTTTAATGTTTTATAAATGAATGAATTTATGATATAAAATATAGGTAAACATGAATTAGATATGGCACAGTAAATATAATGAAAGACAATTTAAGGATATTTATTTCTAATGCTTCCTTTAGTACCTAAGAAACTATTGAAGTTAGACTCGTACAAAGGTCTCTTCCTCTTAGTGTAAAACACTGTGTTTAGTTCAGAGCATAGGCTTAGTTTCTAAAATTTTGGAGGTAATCTACATCCTTCTATATAATACTGTATTGAAGTCTGTGGCATTTGATAATGATGGGCAAGAGTCAAGTGTGGGGCCCGTTGGGCAATAAAGGAACAGGTTTGTGCTTACAGTATTGGGTTATGGTCAAATGGTTACCAAGCCAGGGCTGAATCTTAAGTATCTGACTTTCTATTATACTGCCTCTCCTTATTCCCCTCTTTTAGGAGGATATTAACATTTTAAAGTACTAATCAAAGTAGGTTAGCTTAGTCTAGAATACATTAATTTCAGAAACCCAGTGTACTTAAGTAAACATTATTATTTTTTTAATAAGAAAAAACACGTTGAAGCTTTGCCATTATATGAAAGAGCATTAAAGATTTACGAAGATAGCCTGGGTCGGATGCATCCTCGAGTTGGAGAAACATTAAAAAATTTAGCTGTACTTAGGTAAGAATTTTTTTCACTTTCCTTATACAGCCTAATTCTTTTATTTGGAGTAGCTTTAATTTGTCTTACAACAGCACAAAATATTTATTGCTGAATGTTTTTTTCTTAGAGTGGGGAGGGGTGGTTTTTTGCTGATCGACTTCAAGAGATACTAAAGTAGTATCCTGAAGTGAAAGGAAGGCTGCATGATCTATTTCACAGAGGAATGTCCTTACCATGGTAAATAGTGAAGGATGTTTTACACTGCAACTGGCTCTGGGAATAATATGGGTAATTTGCTGTCCTCAGAGTGAATTTGCCATTAAGTATATGTTGACTTTTGCTTGCTCATTTGTATTTTTCTCAGGAAGCAGAGAATACCTAACTTTCCTTAGCAATTTCACTGCCTCCATTACAACATGGTTTTAATGGTATCCATATGAGACATTAAAATACTGATAGTGGTAGAAAGGAGAAGAATTGGGGTATTGTTTTACTGGTCTGCTTGAGTGAATACACTGGAAAAGGGGGAAGTTAGCAAATATTTACAGCTTTTTTTTCTGTATCCCATAAGGTCATTTTGAATTGGTAAGAGGTTATATTCTCATTTTAAGAGGTATCTCTCTCTCCCTCCCTCTCCCTCTCCCTCTCCCTCTCTCCCTCTCTCTCTCAAAGCTATGAAGAAGGAGATTTTGAAAAAGCTGCTGAATTATACAAAAGGGCAATGGAAATAAAAGAAGCAGAAACATCACTCTTGGGTGGAAAAGCTCCTTCACGACATTCATCAAGTGGAGACACATTTAGCTTAAAAACAGCTCATTCTCCTAATGTCTTCCTTCAGCAAGGACAAAGGTAATAGCAGCAGTTAGAATTCTTTGCAAATGTACCTTAAGACAAAATCATTAAACATTTGGAACATTTGAATTTGAAACTTTAAAAGGTTTAAGAAATTTTACTATGTGTGATTTAACTGATATTTGTATGAAGATGTATTGGACTACATTAAGTTGGAATTGATTGTGTCTGTTTTGTTTAAAATAATTTTACTATCATATGGTATCCAAGGATGTAGACACATTAGAATTCTAAGATGACATGAGGAGCAAATCATGAAGAGTGGATTGGTCTTTGTTCAAGAAGAGCTGGCAGAGCAGTTAATACAAGTTCAAGAATTCCATGAATCTTGGGCAGGTATGGTGGCTTATGCCTGCAATCCTAGCACTTTGGGAGGCTGAAGTAGGAGAATCACTTGAGGCCAGGAGACCGAGACCAGCCTGGATAACATGGCAAAACCCTGCCTCTACTAAAAATACAACAACAACAAAAAAATTAGCTGGACATGGTGGCGCATCCTTATAATCCCAACTACTCAGGAGGCTGAGGTATGAGAATCGCTTGAACTTGGGAGGTGGAGGTTGCAAAGAGCAACCTGGGCAACAGAGCGAGACTCTGTCTCAAAAAAGAAAAAAAGAATTCCATGATTCTTTTCAGCTCTCAAGAGCTGCTTTAGCCTCACCGTGCCTCTTGCTTTTCAGCAGTAGTCTGTCCTAATTCTCTACCTCAAAGGAAAGTTTCAAGGATTAAAGGGATAATGTTCATGAAAGATTCAAGTTGTCTTCAGTGAAACAAATTAGTCACAAGAATCCCTGATTGCTGCATTTTTAAAAATTCTTTATTCCACCCTTCCCTTGAACAGATTGGTTCAATCCCTCTGCTTTCTGTGCTGTCTACATTGTATATTATTTATTACTATCTAGTATATGTATCTGTATAATGTCTGAAGTCTTAATGCAGTAACAGGTCAAGCTCTGTAGCATTCTTTGACTTTTAACAAAATATAGACATGACATTCTCCTTTATCTTCCTTCGTAGATGGCCTATATCTCTCTATTCATTTACCTCAAACTCAAATTTGTTTGCCATTTTTATTCTGAAAATTAAATATTTTTATGGATTTTATAAATATTGCAACATTTTGGATAGTTTTGAACCATTTGTGTATTTATATATAATGAAATCATCAATTTAATACTTACAAGACCCTAACATGTATTAAAAGTGAAAGATATAATTAATAATCACACTTCACTGTTTTAAAATAAAAGTGCAATTTCAAGTTCTTTTTTCCCTACTCTAGTTTATACAAGAGGGCTGTTTTGCATTAATTTTTGAAGAAATACCTAGTTTTTACAAGAGGGCGGTTTTGCATAATTTTTAAAGAAATATGTTGAACTTTTTTGTGAACAAAATGTTGTCAGTATTTGCTGCTCAGTAGTTTGCTCAGCTTAAGGTTTTGGTTAATGTTCTCTGAGGTGTAGTTACTACTCACTGGGTGGTCCACAAACCATTATCATCACGACCTGGCAGCTTATTAAAAATTCAGACTCTCAGGCCTCTCCCCAGACCTAGTGAATCAATCTGTATTTTAGCTAGATCCCAAAGTGACTCATGTACACATAGGTGTGAGAAGCAGTGGTATAACTCTAAAGCACTGTAGTGGCTATTTAAAAAGGAAGGAGGCAGTATATAATGAGCTTTCTTCTTCCTCCTTTAGGAATAGTCCAAGAGGGAAAAATAGAAGATAAACTATAACAATAACATACCTTTCTGGGTGTGGCAGCTGTGAAAGACACAAAGTAATTGAACTCACAAATATACCAGACATTGATTTTAGAATTAAGCTGTTAGAGATTAGAATTTGATTATTTAGTAGTACTAGTAATTTAATACATAGCAAGTAATGTGTTCAGTTTATCACCTTAGAAAAACTGCTTTAGAAAATAATCAGAGCAGTACTCTGGAAGAACCCTGAAGAAAGGAAAAACTACCTTAAGAATATTATTCTTTGTACCTCCAAAATTTGTGCTTGAGTAACTATAGTTGAGGACATATTGATCACTTGAAATTATGTATTCCAAAAGAATTAAATTTAAACATAATAAACTACATTTTGATATTACTACTGATTTTACTACCAGCCCAAATGTTCTCACGTAGAATGCATACTTAAAAAGATAAAAGTAGCTGGAACATCTTTGTGTCTGCATATTTGAAGTTCTCAAATAGGAACATTTATTCTCATTAGTATGTACCTTCATAATGAAAAAGGTAGCTTTCAGACAACTCAATTATAAATCTGAATTGGTAGGGCACTTATTTATTCTAGTTTTAATTTTCATTAGTCAATACCTTACTGAAAAGGAAATATGAAGAAAATGTGATGCAGGGGTCAAAGCTTCCTTTAACAAATATTCTTAAGTGGCTGTTGTTTTTTGTTTTGCTCAGTATAAGTATCCAGGGAGTATTTTTATGAAAAGAAACTAATAATACTTATTTTCTCTACAACATTTAACTAGAACCATAACTAACTTCCCATTAACAATGAGACAGGAATTAAAGTTGAATATGTTGTTTTACTATCATTTAGAGTCTCTGTTCCAAGGCAATTTGGTGACTGCTTTTCCATCTTTCACATTAGAATCCATAGTGTTTACAAATCTGGTCAAATGCTGCGAGTTTATTTAGTAATACTAAATTCAATGAGATTAATTTTTCATAATCAGCTTCCTTCTTATGCAAGTTTTCATGGCATGCTGACTGTCAAGAGAGTACTCTAGGATAGCAGCATGTCTGTTACCAGATTTTTTTATGGTAAAATAATCCAACAGTTTTTAATGAAAGATATTAGACAAAAAAGTTAGATCAATTAGGTAAGATTTGGTACAGTGTAAGACACCAGCAGTGATGCAATGCCAACTTGAGAGCAGATAAGACAGTGAATTCTAGATATGATACTTTATCAAATCATAAAATTTTATAAAACCTTACATGTGCAAGTTTCCAAAGGAAAATTATTTTTGAAAGACTGCATTTCATGTTTTAAATTCAAAACATCTCTCATACTAGAAAAGCTATTTTATAGTTGAATATGCCAAATTTTTTAAAGATAGTAAAAGACCCACCAAGGCAACACAGATAAGTTTCAAGGCTAAAAAAAAAACTATCCTCCTGCTTTCCAGACTTCACTATAAACATGAGACTCATAGTATAATTGTAGCATCTCAAAACAATGTATTGAAGACATTTGAAACTTGAGACTTTTTCTGAATTCAGTTTTTTTGAACTTTTTTTTACAAATCAGGGATGTACTTTTTATTTTTTACAACATTTTTCCCCTAGAGATATAATTAAGATATTCACATCTTCAAAGTAAAAATCAAAATAGGAAATAAGTATAGAAACATCCTACTGGTCATGGTTATGCCTGCATGGTATTTATTAGTCTCCAAACCATTGGAAATTTATTTCAACCAAGGTACTTAGGTGCAACTTCAGAGAAAGCTAATTTATATCAACTTACAGTTTAGCGATCATGATCAAGGGAAATGATACTCCTCCACTGACCACAAGTCTTTGCAGAGGCAATTTAGAACTGTTCTTTTATGCCCACTATACAGAACAACCCTTGCCGACATCTACTACTTTGAGAATCAAATTTAAATGAAGTATCCAGGAGTACCCTAAAGAATTAGTGTAATCTGGATAGACATTAATCTAAATTTATGCCTTGCTCTTCAGTAAAGTATAGTAACTCCAGATATATGTTCCACAGATGCAATAATTTCTATTCCTTGGTCAGTGCAGAATATAATTTATACTTCCTGAAAGCAACTTTGTCTATTCATGAAGATAGCTGCTTTTTATTTGCCTTTGTTTCACTTTGAATATATATAATGCACAGGTTTACAGACTTTTCCAGTAACTACATTTCAACTTGTATTTCATCAGCAAACATTTGAGAGGATGTTACTTCATACATTAACTATTTTAAATTCATTGTTGGTCAAGTTAGTAGTGGGCAATTTTATTATAGAAAGCAATTCCAGACATAATGAGGAGATGTTTGCTAGCTCTAATCAGTAAGCTGTATGCCTTGTCCTTTTCCCTATATCTAGGGATCATGCGCTGCTTTACTGTCCATATCCTCATGCAATAGACACAAGGGATTAAAAAGAAAAGAGATTGGAAAGAAAAAGATTACAGGATCAGATTTGTCCTTCCCCAACTCCAAAAGGCCAACACATTTCAATACTATGTTTTCAAATAAGATTTACATCCTACAATCCTTTGAGGTTTTCTTACTAGAATGAAACATACATTTTAGGAGAGTTAATGATTTTGTTGGAGTAGGGAGAAACAAGCAAGTTACAGGATTTTCAAAAACTAACAATTCAGTTAAGAGTATACATTAATTAATGTTGCCTAAGTTTTATCAGTTAAAAAATTTGTTTTTAATTTCAAGGGAAGAGGCTTTAACATGAGAAATAAAATATATGCCAGTCCATTATCTACATATTCTTCATCTTGGCCATGAGATCTTCCAAGCTTTCACCAGAATCTTCCACTGTTACCTCAGTGACAGAATCTTCTTCCTATTGACAAATAAGGGAAATATAGTGAAAAAAAAGAACCATATAGAATTCTTGATGCTTAGGAATATATAATAAGTTTTGACCATGCTCAACAGGTTATAAAGTAAATTTTCTTTAACAAATGTCTTCTAATTTTTAGAAGAAAGACAGTCTTTTGCATTCCTCACCAGTCTGTTTCTTTACAAGGCAGTAATTTCAATATTCTTGACTGCTCTAGTTTTTTAAATGGTATTATAGCTAAAACTACCAAAATACAAAAATGAGATCTTCATTTAATGAGATCTTCTTCAACATCTATTATAGTTGGTTAATTAATAAGTGAACAAAACCATTTTATTCCATGTTTTAAAAGAATTTAAAATAAGCTATAAATATCTGCATATTAACAATGAATACCTCTCTCTTTCTCACATCTTAATGCCTATAGCATAAAATACCTAAAACGGGAAATTCTTCATTGGCATTACAAATTAGAATGAAGATGAAAGAAGATAAATATTTTCTCTTATGTGGTATTTACATATGGGTAAATCATATTTTTGAAATACCTTTTTTGGAATTGTATATGCCACTGTAATTCCTTCAGGTAAGTCTGGAACTGGACCTGAAGAATTTTTCAGTTCTTCTTCTGAAACCTCAGATACCAGCTCAATACCTGCAAATTTGATCCTATATCAGTTTTTAAGGAATTTAGTAAGCAATAATTATTTTATATAATCTTGTTAGATTCCTTACCATAAAAGGTTTTGCTTTATGCTGCCATTTCAATATATAAAAGAACACCTACCCCATTCATTATCTTCATGGATTACCTCTTCCTCTTCCTGTATAACCTCTTGTTTGGGCAGTGCTGCCACCTTTTTCTGTAGAAATCAAACAGCATCAAGTGTTCTTACTTATTCTCAGTTCTCTGAAGCATTAATCAAGAATTCAGACAGACTTATTATCTTACCAAAAGCAAGAAAGAACATTCATTTTTGAAGTATGGTGAGTAAGTTAACACTATAAAAATACAGAATCCATTTATCTTGTATTCCAAATCTGCTTAACTTATTGTCCTATGCAATATGATCCCTCATGCACTCTAACACATTGCCATATACCTTATATTCTTCCTGCTGCTTCCTGCAATTTCTGTCATCACACTGAGGATTTGGCTTCATGGACATAGTAGGAAAAAAATCCTGCATTGCATTGTATCCAAGATAAAAACTAACAGTACCAAAATTTAACAGAAACCTGGAAAGACAAATCAAAATAGACTTAAATAAAGAAATTAAAACCAGGAAGAGTACTGGAATAGCTAAATTTTTTTAAAATGACTTTGAAATAGGTAATGATTTTTTTTTTAACTAGAAAACAGAAATTTGCATCCAAAAAACAGAAATTTTCTCTTATTTACTTTGCCTGGTTCATAGTAGATGCTTCAATGTTTATTGAATGAAGGAAAGAAAAGATTACTCCATTTCATCAACTGTAGAACACACTACTTTTTGAACCTCTAAAAGATGAAATGCTGCCAGCTAAACTATGTCAACAACTTAAAGAAGCGTGCTGATTTCAGAGAAGTTAAAATGTGGGAGAAGTGTATTTTTTAAATCCCTGAGATATGGTACTAAATCTAATTAAATTTTTAAAATTGTATGTAATTTATTATAAAATGTACAATCTTAAATGTATAGCTCAATAAAATTTTGTGTGAGTCTTTCATGTAACCATCACCAGATCAAGATACAGAGCATTTCCAGTATCCGATGTACCTCCAGCTCTCTCCTGCCCTCTTCCCAGTCAAATCTGATACTTTTTACTCTGTTGCCCAGGCTGGAGTGCAGTGGCATGATCATGGCTTACTGAGGCCTCACCTTCCCAGGCTCAAGCAATCCTATCTCAGCCTCCCAAGTAGCTGGGACTACAGGCAAGCAACACCACTTGGCTAATTTTTGTATTTTTTTTTTGTAAAGACGGGGCTTTGCCATGTTGTCAGGGCTGGTCTGGAATTCCCAGGCTCCAGCAATCTGCCTGCCTTGGCCTCCCAAATTGTTGGGATTACAGGCGTGAGCCACTGCACCCAGCCAATCTGATGTCTTTTATTAGGTTGGCACAAAAATAATTGCAGTTTTTGTCAAAAGTAATGGCAAAAACTGCAATAACCTTTGCACTAACATAATAAAAGCTTCTACACAGAGAAAATCACATAAAAAAGATAAATGACAAAAGAAAAATATTTGCAAATACACATTCTTAATATACAAGACAAAAAAGAGCAAAGACTATTAGCAGACAATTCACAGAAGAATGTGTTCATTTTTCATAAATAAAAATTAAATGCCTATTTTTTTATCCACCAGAATGACAACGATTTCAGAGTTTGATGATATCCAAAGTTATCAAAGGTATGGGTAAACTAGGTACTTCTAAACTATGATACAAATGTATAATCCTTTTGTAGGAGAAATTTAGTAATCTTTCTCAAATATTTCAGAAATTCTACTTTAAAAAACTTGCACTACAGGCCAGGTGCAGTGGCTCATGCATGTAATTCCTAGCACTTTAGGAGACCGAGATGGACAGACTGCTTTTGTGTGTATGTGTGTGTGATTCCATTTATATGAAATACCTAGAGAACAGGCATATCTATAGACAGGATTCGTTGTTGCCTGGGGCTAAGAACAGTTAGGGAAATGGGGAGTGATGCTAATGGGTACAAGTTTCTTTTTAGGATCGCAAAAATGTTTTGATTGTGGTGATGGTTGCACAAGTCTGTGAATATATTTAAAACCACTGAACTGTTCTTTAACCAAATTACCTTGTATGTTAATTACATCTTAATGACACTGAGCCCCCCTTGAGATTTAATTACAAGTGGAGGCTTGTCATCAATATTTTTTAAAAGTTTCCAGAGTGATTCTATTACATATTCCAAGTTGAAAGCCTCTGCTAACGAGGGAAAAAAACCCAAAACACCACTCATACCTCCTGGGAATCCACAACACAGTAGTGATACAAATACTGATCCACGTAGAGTCCAGTAACTGCAGGTGTATAAAATTGGTTGCAGAGGGCATATATTTGTGAACCATAGAGAGATCCAGAAGACTGAGCAGTTGGATTGACTCCTATTATGTAGACAATTGTGGCAATAAACACCATGATGCCCAGAATAGCACTCACTAAGGAGTTCAAGACAGCCTAGGGAACATAGGGAGACTCTTTCTACAAAACATTAGCTAGGTGTGGTGGTGGGTGCCTGTAGTTGCAGCTAACTGGGAGGCTGAGGTGGGAGGATCACTTGAACCTGGAAGGTACAGAGTGCAGTGAGCCAAGATCATACCACTGCACTCCAGCCTGGGTGACAAAGTGAAACCCTGTCTTCAAAAAAAAAAAACTGTACTATTGAAAACTCTAGGCTGAGCATGGTGGCTCACGCCTATAATCCCAGCACTTTGGGAGACTGAGGTGGGCAGATCACTTGAGCTCAGGAGTTCAAGACCAGCCTGAGCAATATGGTGAAACCTTGTCTCTACAAAAAATACAAAAATTAGCCAGCCATTGTGGCATGCACCTGTACTTCCAGCTACTTGGGAGGCTGAAGTGGAAAGGTCACTTGAGCTCAGGAGGTTGAGGCTGCAGTGAGTCATGATTGTGCCACTGCACTCCAAATTTGGCAACACAGTGAGAACTTGTCTCAAAAAAAAAAAAAAAAAAGATCTAGTATTCAAAGATATATACAAGATATAGTCTACAGCACTGTTAATAAAAAAAAAATTAAGTAGCCTAAATGTCCATTAATAGAGGGGCTAGCTAAATAGGACACATCCTTAACAGAATACTTTGTAAGCCTAATTCTTTTCTCCTTTTTTATATCATACTATAAAATGTTTATTTAGACAGGGCGTACTGCTAAACAGGCTATTTGCTCTTACATGAAATAGCCCTAGGCCATTACCTTGAGAGTTTATATGTATGCTTTTTACAATTTCTTTGCCAGCAACTGACACTTATTGATTGGTGCCTCCATATGTCTTGTTGCAGTTTGTTCTTACTATATTGGAGACTTAGGAAATACAACTAAACTTATTAAAGTTGTAAAATGAAGGAAAATAAATGGCCTGAATTAGAGAATACCTAAAGGGACTCTGCTTTTAATAAAGTATGAGTTAATTCATAAACTCTAACAAAAATTGTAGCAGCAAAGAAATCTTTTTCCTTCTTTTTAGCTATAGTTTAAATTGTATAGTTGCTGGATATTTGTTTTTGGATAGCAGAGGCATCCAAAAGCAGATTTTAAAAATCTGTTCAAAATAATTTTAAGTATTGTTAATGTGTTTTATATTAACACCAATATAAATGCTAACATTTACATTTTATGTACATGTAAATGTAAAATTTACAGTAACACTAGTGGAATGTTTTATTACATTAACAATAATTACTGTTTAATCACATTTGGGTTATTTTTGGTAAGACTTCTATCAAGATAGTAGAAGCAAGTGTGTTTAAGTCTCCATCCACTGGTCAAACTTGCAAAGATTTAAATCATTTGGTTAATGCTTCATAAATAAATATACCACTACCATTGTATCAGTTAATAAGAGCTATTCCAAATGAAGGGAGTAACTGACATTCATATGTATTCATGTAGGAATATGCACACATGTATTAATATATGTAACATTAATATAGCTATATATGAAAAGTAGACATACATATATAAAATAGAATTTACACATATACATATATAAAACATTTAAAACTACCTTTAAGTTTAAAGTAGGCAAATTAAATACTTAACTGGTAATTGCAATTTCTGAAATGCTTTGTGAAATATATATTTTTTGAAAGCATACAAGCTGTTCAGAAAAATTAGCCCTGACTTACTTTAACACGTTTTGTACTAAGATCCCAGCAACGACACCCATAGTGGTAGGAAGACTGGCTGCACAAACACCTTCTCGTTTCAGAGTCTTTTCATCAATATTTGCAGCAACTACAAGTGGTGGAGCACACTACATGAAAAAGAATAAAACACATTTCAAAAAAAAGAAAAAGTATGAGATGTTCCAAAGAGTATTCCATCCCCATTCATTTGTTTTTTTCTTTGAATTTTAATACATTTTCAATGCCCCTAAGAATTCGCGTACCTAATAGTGAATAATAATCCAAAAAGAATAATGCATACCGCAAAACAAGCAGATTCTCCAGGAATTATGAGCTGTATATGCCCTGAAACTGCATTTTCACTGACCCCAGATTCCATCCATGTTTGTCCAAGTTCATTACAAGCCTTAGTAGAAATGGGTGAAAACATAAGAAAAAAAATAAAAGAGCAAGAAGTAATTTACAATAAATTATTTTAACTGAATGGATTACCAAGGTCTTTTAAAATTAATTTTCAGAATAAATGAGGAAAGTCATAAGATAATGTAATTCCTTGGTAATTACCATACTCTGTTTAAAGTGACAGTATTCAAGATGTAGTCAGTAAATATTATTAAATTGAATCAAAGTTTATTGTCTTTCTTGTCAAATTAATGTGAAATTTCACTTTTCTAAAATAACTTTAGGAACAAAAAAATGCTAAAATATCTGAAAAATTAAAACAATATTCAAAAGAAAAATACTTATTTTTATTTTTGAGAAACCATGTTTTTAGGCAATTTATACATATTTATACATTTATAAAATCAAGTAACAAAAGTTAAAACTAATGCTGACCAAGAATTATAATAAGATACTAATTTAAGAATTATACATCAGAGGTATTTTTATAGTTTCTTCTACCAGCAAAAAGAGTAGAATACTATAACACATGTCACACCAGCAAGGCTAGACAGGTCCACCAGCTATTAGAGTAGATTTTAAGAGCAGGCTTAAAGAAAACATTACAAATAAAACACATAAAAAGGTTTATATTCAAAACTATTTTTAGGATGGGGATTATATACTGATAGAATATAGAGGAAAACAGATAAATCCATGAATATATCTTACACAGCAGGAATACTCACTGTATTTATTGTCACTCGAGCTTCAAAATTGTCCACACAGCTAAGAACTAGATCAACAGGTTTTCCTTCTTCTAACCCACCATTACTAGTCAAAGAAAATAAATTTGAAAAACATTAGGATACAAAATTCACTCTAATACATTATACTTATTTGTCCAGTCTGACATTTATTCTTTCATTAAATGTTTGACTATAATTGTCACATAGTACATGTGTACTATTAACGATATCATATATCAAGTATTGAGTAACTTATGAATATAACTGTAGTATTACTTCTTTTACAAGAACTACAAGGGTGAAGGAAGTATACCAGCTTTCACACTTTTTTTCATGCTTGACTACAAATTTAAATGTAATAAAAGCGGATTGAATGCAATTATTTCAGTGGTGTTCTGACAGTCTCTGAAGAAAACCATTTCAGACAGAAATATAATCACAGAACTTAAAATTAACTCTCTCTTCTTATATTGTAACTTACAGGGGTTTTGCTTGTTTGCTTTTTATTTTTAATTGTTTTTGGACAATATATACCTTCAAATGATATTCTAAAACATAAAAATCACACAAAAATTACTGTTTTTAAAAATGGAAAAATATATATCAATCTACCATTCATTGGATTAATCCATAGATTTTTCTAATAGATTTTCTAATATTTGAGCTGAACATTATACAAAATATTCATAAATTAAAATTTTACCTTATTCTATCCATGAAATGTTGAAAGTTTTCCACTGTAGTTATATTGTAGTTGTGTACTTCAAAAAGAACATCAGGATTAATGTTCCTAAGAAGGAAAAAGGGAATGATTACAAGTCTGTAATCCTAGCATTTCAGGAGGCTGAGGTGGGAGGATCACTTGAGCCCAGGAGTTCACAGCTACAGTAAGCTATTATTGCACACACTGCACTCCAACCTGCGGGACAGAGCGAGACCCTATCTCTAAAAAAAATGTTTTGTTTTGAGATGAAGTCTAGCTCTGTCACCAGGCTGGAGTGCAGTGGCACCATCTCAGCTCACTGTAACCTCTTCCTCCCTGGTTCAAGTAATTCTCCTGCCTCAGCCTCCCAATTAGCTGGGATTACAGGCACGCACCGCCATGCCCTGCTAATTTTTGTATTTAAGTAGAGCTAGGGTTTCACCATGTTGGCCAGGATGGTCTCGATCTCCTGACCTCGTGATCCACCCACCTTGGCCTCCCAAAGTGCTGAGATTACAGGTGTGAGCCACAATGCCTGGCCAAAAAATATTTTTAAAAAGACTACTAGTAGCTGTGATAAGAAAAAGCTGTGAGGAAAAAAAGAGATGAAAGAGCTAAAGGGCATTTCACATACCTTAGAGAAGCAGAATTCAAGCTATTCAAAGAAAACCCAAAGTCTTTTTCTCTTTTATCCCACACTTCAAGGACTAGGTTCATTTGTGTCATAAAGATTACAAAACTGTTCCCACCCCAATCAGTCTAAGTGCAGGAATTAAGACTTTACCATGTCCAGTAACTACATACAGCTCAGCCTCACTTCCTTATTCAGTTAAGAACAAATTTGGGGCCATTAAAAAGTTCCTAAAGCAGGAATTGGCAAACTGTGGCCCATGGGCCAAATCTGGCCTGCCACCTGTTTTTGTGCAGCCTTGAGGCTAAGAATGTTTTTTTCATTTTTAAATGGTTGGGAAAAGAATCAAAAGAACATTTTATGACATATAAAAATTGTATCAGCCAGGCATGGTGACTCATACCTGCAATCCGAGCATTTTGGGAGGCCTAGGTGGATGAATGGCTTGAGTCCCAAGAGTTCGTGAACAACTTGGGCAATATGGCAAAACCCTATCTCTGCTAAAAATACAAAATATTAGCCAGGCATGGTGGCACATGCCCATAGTCCCAGCTACTCAAGAGGCTGAGATGGGAGGATTGCTTGAGCCTGGGAGGTGGAGGTGCAGTGAGCCAAGATTGTGCCACTACACTGCAATCTGGGTGACAGAATGAGACTCTGTCTCATAAACAATTTTTTAATTTAAAAAATTAAAAATTGTATGAAATTGAAATTTTAGAGTCCAAAAATAGAATTTTATCAGAGCACAGACATGCTCATTCATGTTTGCGTTGCCTACAGCTGCTATCACACTACAACTAACAGCTGTAACAGAGACCCTCTGGCCCTCAAAGACTGAAATATTTATTATCTAGCCCTTTACATAAAAAGTTTGCCAACCCATGTCCTACAGGTAAGAAAATTCTTTGTACAAGTGAAATCTGCATTTAATAGAGAAAAATTCAGATCCATTTCTATTAATGCATATCAAATACATAAAGTAAGATTTCATTGAATATGGCTCTTGATTTCTATTCCATTTACCTCAAAGTATGTTCTGCTGCTTGAACTTTACTTAATCCTGCTTGATGAGGCTGGAAGAAAAGTCTATTCATATTGGCTAGTTCCACCTTGTCATAATCAAAGAGTAGCAACTAAAATGAAAATAGTGGTATTCTGATGAAAAACATACCAAAAAACTAAAAATACCAAATAATAAATTAGCTTTACATTTAATTAGTTTAATAGTTTGATAATACTAGCAAATTCTGAAACACCAGGTACCATATATTAATTTGTTGAATGCTAATATGAGGTATGTAGGTACTATTATTATCCTTACTTCAGAAATGAGGCAACTGGAACACTTGCCCAAAGGCCACTCATCTAATATAAAGTGAAATGGGATTCAAATTCAAGCATTCTCAATCTAGCATCTGCACCTCAACCACAATGCTTTGCTGCCTCTCTAAATGATTCATTCAGAAATTAAGATTAATTTCCTTTCATTCCATTTTGAAAAACTGTGCCAAAATCCTTCTTCATTTCCATTTTTTGCTAAAAGCCAGGAATCTATTGGATAAATAAAATCTTAAAAACAAATGCTGTAACTTAAAATATAGTATAACCTGACTCTTTTGTGTAGATGACAAAATATATACCAATGACATGGCTAAAGCATTATTCCAAACGAAATTACAAATCAGTTAACTGTTTCCTGCTATATAGTTAAGCCTGTTTCAAACAGCATTAGTCTCTTGGTCTCTGTCACACACGCAAATTAAAATGGCCATTAGATCACATTTCTTATCAATAAGAACAGGCTAGAGCCAAGGACTTCCTAAATCCCTTCTTGATATGAAATTCTGTGACTCGGTAATACAATTCTCATTATACTAAATAATGAAAACAAAAATGGGATTTTCTTCTCAATACAAAAACTAAAAAGAAAAACTTCAACCCATACCACCTAGGTAGCCCTTAATACCTTGCTAGAAAAGATCTCACATTCTCCATAATTTTCTAATCCTACTTAAGAGTCTCCAAAACATAGTTTATTTAAGCTCAACAATAAATATGTATTAGGTCAGGCCAAGTATTACATTTTAGTTTCTGCCTCATAGGTTGTTTATGCATAAGTTGCAGGAAATATTAAACTTGAGAACAGAAGGTCTGAATTGTAACTCTGCCACTAATTAGCTCTGACTGTGGGTAAATCACTTCCACTTTTTAGGCCTGTATCCTCATCTCTAAAATAAAGCAGCAAATCTAGATCTGGTGATCCAAGGCAGCCCATATACTTTCAAGAGATCCCAGAGCCTTTTAGCATAAGAAATGGACTCTGGGTCTCGTAACATCTACTTTTCTATTTAACCCCATTAATTTGCTTCGTATTTATCTGTTTTACAAATTAAAGACTTCCTGAAACTTACCTGTGTAGATTCTCAGTTTACAAACTTGAGGGCACACTGGAATCACTTGGAGAATTTTTAAAAATACAGATGTCTGTGCCTCGTGCCCAGATAATTCTTATTTACTCATGGGGTGCAGTTTGGACACCAAGATTTTTTTAAAACTTCCCAGGTGACTCTACAGCAAAATATGATAACTACTGTTCTATTCTAGCTCTGTGCTACTCAAAATGTGGCCTGGTCTAGCAGCATTAGCACCACCTGGAGCTTGTTAGAGATGCAAGAGCACTTCTCCAACTTTAATGTGAAAATGAACCATTTGGGGATTGTGTTAAAATACAGATTCTGATTCGGTATGTCTGGGGTAGGTATTGAGAGACGATACTGATGTTACTACTTGAGAGCCCAGACTTGGAGTAACAAGGATCCAGTGGTTCTTACTAGTGTAGTCCTAGGAACATCATCATGTTCCTAGGATCACCTGGGAGCTTGTTAGCAATGTCAATTATTAAGTCCACCTGACACCAAAACCACCAGAGTAGGATCTGTTAATCTGTGTTTTAATAAGGCCTCTAAGTGATTCTGATAACATACTCAAACTTGAGCACCACCAATCTCAATGATCTATTATCCCTGGTCAATCAGGCAGGGTGCTTAAGTCAGCTATAAGCAATTTTTGTTCTGCTTTTGTAAATCTTTTGAAAGATATTAAAATTTCAATAAACATTTCTAGTATTTTGGTGTTGTTATTTCTATATTGATAAGTGAGTGCCAATTTTGAAATTATTTTAAGAATTTGGGGGTACACCAACATATTAGAAAGCACTGGTAAACTGTGGGAGAATGCTTGCTTTACCAGAATGACAAATTAAAGGATATGTAATTGTGGAAAGCTTATCTATTCAATCATTATGTATCTAACATCATAGACTTTGGCTTTATAAATCTAAGATTGGTAGATTGAATTTTGGTACAAGAAAGTTACTTCTTTCTACCCATTATCCAAATGAATTTTAGAAAAATGTTAAAAATGTACCAATTTTTAAAAATCAATCCAGAGCATTCTCTAGTTCAAATTCAAGAGTAAGAAAGGTACATGTTTTCTATTCTGTCTGGTATATGTTTAATAAAATATTTGTTATATGTTTCAGTGTTTCATATACTTTATCAAATTAATTACCTTTTTCCTAAGCTTCTATAGCTAAAACACTTAAGTCCAAATCATTTACATTTACTTCAACAGAAACATTTCTAAACACAATTAGACAATCCTTGTCTAATTAGCAATAATAACACCTTTTGTTTAGGTGGGATATATCTCAACCCTTTGGGTAGAAAGAACAATCTAGATTAATACACTGCAAGTCAATAAGCCATTAGTAATGAAAAAAATCCTAATTTGTACCTGATTTACTCCAGGAGTGAGTAGTTCCCTATATGATAGGCAAGGAGAAATGTTTTTACCTTACCAATGCCACATCTTGTCAGCATTTCAGCAGTCACACTACCTACTCCACCAACACCTACTATTGCTACAGCGAAGGTACGGATTTTCTGTGAAATACAAAATAATATGTGTTGTTAATAGCTCTTCATCAAATATGTCAACAGAAGCTATTTTCATTTACTGAATTCATTTTACAAAAACTTGGAAAGGGTTTATCATACCTCATAGTCGCTTACAATTCCCATTCGTTTCAATGCCATCAAGCGGCTTAAAACAAAGGAGAAAAAATGTTTTAAAGCTTACAGTCTTTTAAGTGATAGTAATACAAATAGATATATATCATCACAGAAGATAAACACAAAAATATTATCATTACTAATCATTTCAAACAGGAGGATGCTTACAGGCTGGTTTTTACCAGGTGAAACTAAACTACCCAGATAGCTTTAAAAACTCTCCCAGGTGAAGCCTATGAAATAAGATTGGTTTTTAAAAGCTGTGTATTCGGATTTACAGCCAAGATTGTGACTGCTACTTAAATGTTAAGGGTCAAAGTTAAATTTCAACATTTTTCTATGCTTTGGTAGAATACGTAAATATTTAATGTTTTAACCCTTAGATCTCCATCATCAGAGTAAACTCATGGCTGGAATTCCATTCTCCTGTTGCCTCTGCCCACAATGGATGATGTCTAATTTTAGTAAGCTCCTACTGTTTGCCAAAGACTCTAAGAGGTGCTTAACTAGTTACTGGCAATCTGCAGTTTAAGTTTATAATTAATTCTCATTCATCTTCACTTTAAGGAGTCAGATGGTTTCACCCGGCTTGTTAGGAAATTCAGCCACCACCCCCATTTTCCTCTCCCTCACTTTTAACTCCATCACCATGATATTCCTAAATAATATACCAACATTGTTATTTCTTTTCAGTTTTAGTCAATTATCTGAATCAGATTTTGCTCTTAGCATTCATCCCTACTGCACACAGACATTTTCCATCCCACCAGCCTCCCAATAGTGTTCATACGGTCATCTTGGTTAGATGTTAACTCTTCACATCTGGGCCATGCAATATAATAAAACTTACCCTTTCCTCTAATCCCCAAACCTGAACTTAAAAAGTGTGTTGCTCCTGATGCTTAATTTCCTACATTTTTTCACAAATTCAACCCCAACTTTCCACTAATTTTCTAAAATTCCTCTAGATACAGTCATATGCATGAAGCAGTCTATCAATTTCATCTTCTTAAAGATATATCTCCTAGAATCTGACATAGTATCTGTCTCTAGACTTACTGCACATACAGCTGCCTTCATAGGATCTTCCTTCATCATTATACTACATTTCTTAATTTCTTTATTTTGTGTTAACCCCCTGCTTCTGTATGCCATAGCTCACTAGTTCTAAAGTATCTATGAATCAGCAACAGCATCACCTGAGAATTTGATAGAAATGCAATTTTTTAATAATCACTCACTCAATCAGAAATCTTGGATGTGGAGTCTAACAATTTGCTTTAACAAGCCCTCCAGTAATTCTGATGCACATGAAAGTTTAAAAGACTCTGTTAACAGTTATTTTTATACTTACTCTTTTGCTGTGGTTAGATCATCTTCTAGTAGTTTTGCAAAGGGTATAGCAGAGGTAAATTTTGAGAACTTTCATGTCTGAAAATGTTCCTTATCAAAATTATATTCTTTATAAAAACGACAAAGCAAAGAGCATATAATTGTGGGAAGCTACATATATACTCTTAATAGTTTAATTTGGTATAGAATTCTAAAGTTAGAATTGTCTTTCAACGTTTTAAGGTAATGCTGCAGTGTCTCCTAGCTTATAAAATTTCACAGTGTGCCTTAATGTGAATCTGTTCTCATCCCTTGTGCTGAGTTTTTAGTGTACCCTTTCAAAATGAAAACTCACGTTTTCAGTTCTGGGAAATTTCCTTGAAGAATTTGGTTACTTCCTTGTTTGGTTTGCTTTTCACACTGTCTGGAAGTCCTATTATTTGGAAGTTGGACCATCTGGATTTGTCCTTTATTTTCTTTCTCCAATTATCTATCATTTTAGTTATCTGCTCTATTCTCTGGATGATTTCTTTCAACTTTATTTTCCAACACTTCTGTTGAGATTTTCATTTCTATTACCATCTCCATTGGCAAGAATTCTTGATCGTCTAAATACTTTGCACCTTGTTCCTATGTCTATTTGTACAATATCTTCTCTCATCTGAGGATGCTAATGATAATTTGGGGGGATGTGTTTCTGTTACACAGTCTATCCAAGTTGCTATTTTTATTTCTTTCATGTTAGAAGTTTCTCTCATCCTTTGTTCAGTTCATATTTAAGAGTGGGACACTAATAAAGGTTAACAATATAAGCCATACTGTTTGGCTTTGGACTTCCCTGTAGGGTGATCTGGCCAGCCTATTCAGCTGAGAAACCCACAATCCTCTTGGCGCTATCAGATTCCCTAGAGAATAATCTTTCAAACTCCAACCTGAGTTGGAGTTCCAACCCCACGATCAGCTGTTGGAAGTGAAGAAGCGAGGCTGGGAGTCTCAGCATTATGTATGTAAGCATTCCATTCACATTTAGTTGTGGCATTCAGCATGTAAACATTCAGTTTACCCCTTCCTTCAGATATAAAACCCTGCCCCAATTATTCTTGGAAATCTTCTTTTTTTTTT